CCGTGAGCCATGGCTGCTGAGCCTGCGCGTCCGGAGCCTGTGCTCCGCAACGGGAGAGGCCACAGCAGTGAGAGGCCCACGTTCCGCAAAAAAAAAAAAAAGGAATTTCATACAAGAGAAAGCCTGGGGGAGACAGGCCAAGGTGGGAGCCCTTCATCCAAGGGGCAAAAATCAGCCTGCTTATTTTTCCCTGGGGGGCAGATTCTGTAGGCAACACATGGTTTGGGGAGGTGAGGTTCTGAACACAAGAGCACTCCACTTTAATATTCCCAGTCACTCCTGGAACCCACCTCATCTAGAAAAAAGACTCAGATTTTGGCCAGTATGGCCACCACCAGTGCCATGAGACTGTCAACAAAATTCCCCTCTTTAGGAAGATGAAAGTCATGTGTGATGTCAAAGCACATCCGTAGGGTAACCTGCAACCATCCCCAGGGAAACAACAGGGGGTTCTCCTGCACTTCCCAGGTGCAAGAGAGGCCTGCATGGTGCTGAGGGTAGCAGGTCTGATCCTCCCACAAATAAGTCACTTCAAATCTAGACAGCACACAGAAGATTCCAGACTGCTCAGAGCATGCTCGTTACGCCTGCCAAAGGGCTGGCTCCTCAGCCCTGGCCTCCTATTGTATATTTTAGTGCAGGAACTGAGTCACACCTGCAAATTCTATGACAGATGATGTTTCATCAACTTTGAAGAGTGCCGGCTCATTTCCTGGGTCCCAAGCCAAAATGACATAATAGAGTCCTTTCAAAAGCCCACCAGAAGAAGTTGGTATAATGTCCAAAATAGTCCAAGGAATGAACACTTCTAAATGTCTTAATAAGTTCTGTGCCAATCAGCTCTAACAAGACAAAAGCCTGTCATGAGAGGCCCAAGGCAAACTCAGGACCGCCATCCCCCTATCGCCTGCTAGGTTTTCTTTCCTTGACTGTTTATTTGGTTTTTTCCTTCTAGCAATGCTTTGGGTGACAAGAAGAGTTTCCTGGTGTCTTTCACACACAGTCAGCTCTCCTGCCCACCAATCTTCTGGGTATTTTTATTTCACTCCCCGGATGATTTTATTGGATCAACACATCAAGCTGTGAGGTTTTACAAACATGAAATGTCAGCACAAACATAGATACATCCAGAATAGCACCATTCCCTCTCTGCCAATAGCACCCCCGAAGCAACACACAGATGCACACACACACACACACACACACACACACCATCTTTCCTCAGTCATAAAAGTTACCCAGTTGAGCCCTTCTCCTCAGAATTCTGCTTCAGCCTCATTGAGTGACAATACACAGGGGTTCCAGTACTGAGCTCACCAAAGAATAAGGCAAACACAGACAACACATGCAAAGATATGGCAATCCACCTTCTAAGGGACAGGCCAGGCCCCAGTCTGCTTAGAGTGAATAAAAGCAGCCTCAAGACGAGAGAGCATAGTCTTGAGAGGTAGAGAACTGCCTTCTCAGAGCAGAGAGTCTGCCAGTGGCATTTGAACAAGTCACCAGGAGAGAGTGGGTTCATGGGGGAAGGGCAAGAGAGGAGGAGGGAACAGAGGCCCGTGCAAGGGCCTTAGAGTGATTTTGAACAGAGCAGGTTAATATAGCTACTCCCCAAATTGGACAACTGTGTTAAGTCAAGAGGAAGCACACAGGAAAATTGAGGCCTGGATCACTGAGGAAGGGTCAAAGGCCAGGCATGGGTGATGGATGAGACAAGAGGGCCCTGTCACTAAGGTTTCAGCCAAAAGCAGGGATTTATACCCTCAGCCACCCAGGAGATGGGGACCTGCAGGTTGACAAGGACAGAATCACACAGGCCACAACCAAACCTACTCTGCTGCTCACTAGCTGGGTGAACCAGGACAGGTGACTCGGTCTTTTTGAACCTCTTTTTTCATTTGTAAAATGGGATGATAATAGTACTGTATTTGCTCTGGTTGCCATGACAAAATACCATAAGCCAGGCGGTTTAAACAACAAATTTATTTGTCACAGTTTTGGAGACTGGAAACCTGAGATCAGGGTGCTAGCAGAGGCGGGTTCTGGAGAGGTTGCTTTTCCTGGCTTGCAGATGTCCCCTCTCCACTGTGTCCTCACATGGTGGAGAGAGAGAGGGCTCTGGTCCCTTCCTCTTCTTATAAGGACACTAATCCCATCAGTGGGGGATCCACCCTCATGACCACCCTCATCTAAACCTAATCACCTCCTAAAGGCCCCACCTCCAAATACCATTACCTTGGAGGTTGGGGCTTCAAGATATGAATTTGAGGGGTGCAGACTTTCAGTCCATAGCAAGTACCCACCACAGAGAGATGTTGTGAGGGTTAAATGAAATTTACACACACAGGGCTGATTTAACACGGTGCCTGGCACATCATTGGAACTGTTTAAAGATGGCCATTGTTCTCATTTGTTTTAGGGAACGGGCAGAGGAAGCATTTCCACAGGCCAGCACCACTGTTCACCCAGCGCTGTGTTTGGCAGGCAGTTTGCAATGACATTTCCAAAAGGGATATCATTGCCTGTTACTGAGAATTAGGCAGGCCTTGCTCCCTGGTCCCAGGAAGTCTCACTCCCCGTGTCTATGTCCTTGGTGCTACACAGAGGTCTGAGTTATGGGAGGGGTGATCGGCCTCAGGGCCTGGTGTCAGGGCCTCCATGGGCAACGAGATGAAGACAAGGACCCTCCCTGGGTGCAGGAATCCAAGCAGAAGCCTGATTGAAAGTCACATCCTCACTTTTCCTTTTCCCCTATAACATGGACCAATAATCTCAAACCTGAGGGTGCAAACCAGAATCACCCCCAAGAGCCTGTTACAAAACAGATTTCTGGGCCCCACCTCCAGAGTTTCTAATTCAACAGATCTGGGATAGGCCTGAGAATCTGCATTTCTCACTAGTTTGCAGGAGATGGTGCTGCAGCTGGTTTTGGAACTACACTTTGAGAATCACCACCGTCAACCATGAAACAGAGGGTGCAGTAGCATGTTTCCCATGACAATCCAATCATTTTAGAAAAGACTGACTTTCCTATGCCTTTCCTCAGGATTCCAAATTGAGGACAGAATCAGCCACTGCAGTTTTCAACACAGGAAAAAGTGGAGTCACTTTGAAAAGGAGAAGTGATATCTCATATTTGAGGTGAGTAAAGGTGCAGCTCAGGTAAGCCTGGACTATGTTCCCAGGGTATATGAAAGGGATCGGTCAAGCCTTTGAGAACTAGAACTGAGGGAGGAGTCAGGAATCCTAAACTATCAACTAGATGACAACCTATCTCTTTTCCCTAACCATTTCCCTGGCATTGGACAGTCTTATCTTTTCACACCTAGCATGAAAACAAAGTATGTCAAATACTTGTTCGATTCCCACCCTATGTCGCTCTAGGATGTGACTGGATTGACTCTTGTTGTGGAAAGAATTCTTGGCTTCCCGTCTGCATCTGGGATTGGGTCTCCCCTACACCAAACCAGAAGAGCAGCAGGTGGAAACATCAAATGCTCTTTATCTACCTGCATACTGAAAGCAGGAATTCCCAGGTCTTCATGAACTCCCTCTTACTGAAGAATTGCATCCACTGGGCATTCTGCAAAATTCAGTGGTAACTTCCCAAGTTACTTCAGGACACCAGCCAGCTGCCACCTTCTCTAAAGATGTTAACTTCTCTCAGACTAAGTATCACCACCCAAGAACCCTTACGGCCATACAAAAATTCTTCTAATATATACCTTTTATATGTATTTTATTGGGAGGAGGTAGCTCCAATGCAAGGGGATAACCACAAAGATTTTTTTCAGGTCATCCTCAATCTGTCCTTTCCTTCCCGTTGGGTGATCAGAAAGCCTTTAAGTACCCTAAACAAACTTGCCACATTAGACCCACATAAACTTGGATCTAACTCAGTGGTCCTCAGCTGGGGCCAACTCTGGCCCCCAGGGACTTTTGGCCATGTCTAAAAATATTTTGGGTTGTCATAACTCAGGTCAGGGATGCTCCTGACATCTAGTGGATAGAAACTAGGGACGCTGCTAAACGTCCTACAATGCATAAGACAGCTCCCGCAACAAAGTTATCCAGCTCTAAATGTCAGTGGTGCCAAGTTGGAGAAACCCAGATAAGTGACTGTCTAGAGGGAACAGGCAACCTGACTCAGTTCCTAAATAATGAACAGGATCTCTGGTTAAATTTCCAGCCTAATAGCACTCAAGAAAGTCCCTAGAACAGTGTAGTTTCTTCACATCCACATGAGAAGAGTGAGAATTTAAAGCCATGGTGTCATCCTTGGATGATGGGTACCTTAGGTTAGGTCCTCCCAGAAGGAACAAGTACAAGTGGTTCATTTGAGAAGTGATACCTGGAAACCTCAGTAGGGGAGTGGAGATGTAATACCAGGAAAGGAAGGAAGCCATTAGAAAGTGTGTTTTCAAGCAAGTTGCTACTGTGGGCAACTTCATCTTAATTCCAACAGGGAATGCCGGGAGAGACTGAAGAACATTCATTATTTTCAGTTATCCCAACCAAGAGGCAAGGAGGCTGAGATATTTACTCACGCATCCTGTCAGTCACTGGTCGAGGGATCCCAAGGGTTACTCATTCCCCAGCACTTCCAACCATCCCAAACACAGGTAGAGTGGGCCCTCAAGCAAAGTCCACAGGCAAGAACTTTCTGGTGTTGGTAGTGATACATGAAACTGACAAGTGTATGAAACTGTCAAGTCTGAGTGGTTGTGGATGGGGCCACCAACAGCATCTGCTACAATGAGATTGCTGAACGCATTCATTTTTTACATTGTATTTCTCTCATGTTGAATATTTACAATAAATTTATTACATTAGTAACAAGAATAAAACACATATAACTAAAAATACCAGAGGGAAATGCAAAGAGCATTTAAAAGATGGGATAAAATGTAGCTCTTACAAGCAACTAAACTGTCCAATTCAAAACTAAGAACAAGGCAATTCAGAACCATATTGTACCCAACATGAAAGAGGTGACCCACCTTGTGGTGTTGGTAGCACGGTCATTTTAGATCTGTCATCTCATGTGCCACTAAGCTCCGAATCAGAGGGCCTTCTCAGTCATATTCCTAGTGCCTGCAGCAAGCTCCTGGAGGTGACAGAAGGAGGAAGCCAAGGCAGAGGTCCTGGTTTCCTAAACTTCACGCCTGGCTTTGGATCGCCTGTCTACAAAATTTGAAAATCCAGACTTATAAAAAGTACCTAAGTTTAAATTTAAAAAAAACTATCAGCGAAGTAACTCTAGCAGAAACAAGAATGTTATGGGGAAATTAACTGATTTCAGTCAACACTGGAATGTTAAAACCACCCAGTCCATTTAGTGAGAACTCGCTTTCCAAAATCTGGTGTTTGTGGATTCATACACAACATAACTAAGAAGTCTAGACCTCATCAACCATCAAATACTTTGTTACGTTATTTTCACATTACTTTTTAATGCCAATAGTCTGAACCTCCACTCAAGTAATACATATAAAAGAAACTGAACTTGTTTCAACTGCATTAACATAAAGTGAATTAATTTAAATTATAATACTCCTCAGAAAAATGCAGTATCAGTCTAGGATTAATTTTAGCATCTTTCCTACCAGAAGAAGGTGCTCAATTATTCTAAACTTAAGAATAATTTAAAGTAAATTTAAAGAAACTTTTCATATTTCAAGAGTATCTCAGAAAATAATAATTATTTATTGATGTATATATTTGTTTTTCGCTACTTAGCTCCAATTTAAAAAGTTAATCATGAACATTTGGGAAGGAGAAAGGGCAGAGATTTTTGTTATTCCAGATAAGGATGATAGCATTGAAACCCAAAACAATAAACACACACAAACATTTGTCTTTTTAAATTAATAAACATATTTCAGACAGTTTCATTCAGCACAGAAAAAATCATTTTAACGAGAAACACACATCCTTTTGAAATATTAACTATTCAAAAATTAATGTAAATTTAAAAAGGGGATTCTTTAAAAATAGAAAATGAACAGATTATTCCTACAGTATCAATATGAGAACTTAAAATATTGGATATGTCATTGTAGAGGAAAAGGCCAGTCCAACAAAAATACACCTCATAGGACAGCTCTTTGGAAGGGCATTCTTCCTGCTTGTGCTTATTCTCTACATGAGGTATGTAGATCACCCCATCTAAGAATCTGTGGATAAACATTACCTGGAAGAGTCCTTTGAGCTAAAACTTAAGGCAAAATAACTTGCTGAGAGTGGCTAATTCACATTCTAGAATGAGAATGATCAACATTTTCCTATGGCTGACCTGTGGCGAAATGTACACAGTGAACACGGAGTTCTGACATCCCCTTCCTCCACCCTGTCGTCAAGACCACACATCTTCAGCTTGACCCTTTCTGGACCTTTCATCTCCCTACATGTGTCTCATGATCATGAAACTTTCGTCTTACGTCATCATGCACTGAAATTTCAATTTTTATTGTTCAGGGTATCTTACAAATGGATGATCATTTCAAAAATTCTTTTGACTTTTCACTCAAGCTGGTGCAGTGATTCACCACTCTGCTTCATAAAGAAAGCAATGATAAAGTATAAAGACAAAAAGACAAAAATCCAAACTTGGGCTCAAACACCAGATAAAAATCTCTGTAGGTCAGAAAAGGATATAAATGCTAAGCAGTGAATGGGGCTGTAGCTGCAGACTCACTGGGGTTGTGTCAAAAGTATGCAGCAGACAACTTAAAAAGGCTCCCACTGACCACAGATGATAAATGAAACCTTGAAAAGAATGATATCTACAAAAAATTGAAACACAGTGAAAGTGGGAAATCCAGAGTTGATTAATAATACTTTTTTAAAAAATTAGTCGCCTTTTAAGAGTGCCAGAGACTCAAATCATTATTCTGAAGACTGGCAAACAAAGGAAAAGAATCAAGTATTTATTCCCCCTTTCCTATATGAACTATACCTCTGGGCAACAATGGATGGAAAGGGAAAATTCTTCTTTAGGAGAAGAATTCCACCTAAATAAATAAGAAATGATGGAATTGGAATATCACCATTTTGCAACCCCTAATGAAATAATGGACATGGGCAGATACCACCAATGGCTGCTAAAACCAGTAGGTGAAAAGCTATCAATCTTAATGTCATGAAAAACAGAAACAGATGTTATGTGCCTTCTCTTAAGTGCCATGGGAAGTATACACCACCACCTCCAAAGTATTCTTGGAAAAAGAAAAAAAAAAAAGCCAGAACTCATCAAGCCTCATCTATAGGTCTATTATCATTTTATGGGTAATGGAGGAGGTGGAGGTACATATTGAACCATATCACGGAGGAAAAGAGAAACTACGTTAACCTTCTTAATAAATAATTGTAAGAAAACAAGAGGTGAGAGTTGGAAACGTTCTACATATTTGATTATTTATTTTAAGTAGTGTCATTTTTTTAGATGTGATAACTGCATTGTACTAATGCTTTAAAAAGATTCACACTGAAGTATTTACTGATAAAATGATATAATGTCTAATTTTACTCCAGAATAATCCATTGCAGGAGGGAGGAGGGAGATTCGAGGAAATGCAACTGACCATGTGATGAGAATCATGGAAGTTACACCACTAGTTAATATTACAGAAAGAGAGAGAGGTGGAGGGAGGGAAGGGGTGAGGGTACTAGGGCACTGAGTGGAATTTCATTGAATCTGTACACCTTTAGTAGCCAAGGTGTGGCTCAAAGACCAGCAGCATCAATGTCACCTGCCAGCTTGCTAAAAATGGGGAATCTCAGGCCATGCACAAGATCTCCTGAATCAGAAACCACATGAACAAGATCCCTTCGTAAAATTTGTGTACACAGTAAAGTTTGAGAAGTACTTTTGCAGATCACTTGGAAGAAAATGATTATCCTCCAATCCATGCTATACTACTCCATTTATTTAGGTCTACCCTAATGGCTCTCAATAATTTCTTATAGTTTTCTGTAGAGTCTGTATTAGTCAGACTGGGCTGCCATAACAAAATACCACAAGCTGGGTGGCTTAACAACAGAAATTTACTTTCTCACAGTTCTGGAGGCTCAAAGTCCAAGATTAAGGTGTCAGCTGATTCAGTTCCAGGTGAGGGTCACTTCCTGGGTTGCAGATGGCCACTTTGTCTTCACATGGTCTTTCCTCTGAGAATGAGCAGAGAGCAAGAGAGCCCTCTTGAGTCTCTTCGTATAAGGACACTAATCCTACCAGATCAGGGCCCCACTCTTGACTTCATTTAACCTTAGTTACTTCCTTAGAGGCCCCATCTCCAAATACAGCCACACTGGGGGTTAAGGTTTCCACATATGAATTTTGGGGGTACACAAACATTCAATCCATTAACAGAGGCCTTGGGCCAAGCTTATTGCATTTATTCCTGGATAATTAGTATTCTTAACTGATTTATGAATTATAATAATTTAGTTGTAGATTCTTCTAAATTTTCTATGTACATAATCCTATCTTCAAATAAAGGCCGTTTTTGTTTGTTTGTTTGTTTGTTTTGCGTTACACGGGCCTCTCACTGTTGTGGCCTCTCCCATTGAGGAGCACAAGCTCCAGACGCGCGGCCACAGCTCACAGGCCCAGCAGCTCCGCAGCACGTGGGATCCTCCCGGACCGGGGCATGAACCCGTGTCCCCTGCATCGGCAGGCAGACTCTCAACCACTGCGCCAGGGAAGCCCCAGGCTGTTCTCTTTTTAAGGCTTTTACAAAGTTGTTATTATTCCCCACCTGTCTCTAGATCAATGCTTCTCAACCTTGGTTAGTCATTACATTTCTTGAGGAGCTTCAGACAATACCAATGCCTGGACACCATGCCCAGAAAGTCTGATTCGTTCTTCCTAAACCTGAGGATTTTTTTTTTAAACTCCAAAAGTGATGTGGAGCCAGAACTCAGAGCCACTGGTCTAGACACTGCTCTGGAGTCAAGAGGAACAATTCCCACTCATAACAAACACACGGGAATCTATTTCTTGTGGTGTGGTCTTCTCTCTCCAAATAAATTAGAGAAGGGTTGACACTTTCTCATATAATATAATACCTTTTCCTTTGCTAGAAATTGTTCACTGCCTGACTCCTTCAAGGGTCAGCCCATGATTTCAAACAACGTAGCAAAACCTTAGCTATCCAAACAGAGTACATAAGATTCTAGGCAAAGATCCATACATGTGGAGGTCTGAGAACACTAACTTCCCAATAGGACCTCTTCAAATATTAATTTAGAAACCTTATTTGGAACAAAGAAAATAAAGGACAAACTAGAAGAGAAACTTTCCATTAAATTTGTCCAGTTTTGAGGTAAGTCATCTTAATTTTAGTACTATCAACATAACATTTTAAGTAGCATTTTCTTACAAAGCCCCTACTCCCTTTCATTTGCATTTGTATAGTTGATGGTGAAAAATGGGCATGGTTGTACCCACCTTATAGCTGAAGAAACATAGGCATAATTTCAGTGACTTATTTCAAAGTCAGCAATCATTGACAGAATCAAGAAAATCAAAGCTGGGCTTCCCTGGTGGCACAGTGGTTAAGAATCCACCTGCCAATGCAGGGGACATGGGTTCGAACCCTAGTCCGGGAAGATCCCACATGCCACGGAGCAACTAAGGCCGTGCGCCACAACTACTGAGCCTGCACTCTAGAGCCCGCAAGCCACAACTACTGAGCCCACACACCACAACTACTGAAGCTCACGTGCCTAGAGCCCGTGCTCTGCAACGAGAAGCCACCACAATGAGAAGCCTGCACACTGCAACGAAGAGTAGTCCCCGCTCGCCACAACTAGAGAAAGCCCACGCACAGCAATGAAGACACAACGCAGCCAAAAATAAAGTAATTAAATAAATTTAAAAAAAAAAGAAAATCAAAGCTGCGTTGTAATGTTCCTTCTGTTCTACAATTTATACTAAAAAATACTCTATTAAGATATTTTCCTCAAGATATATTTTAAGAAGCAGTATTTAAGCCTGGATCTTCAAATTCCATTAAATTTAAAATAGCCACAGGACTTCCCTGGTGGCACAATGGTTAAGAATCCGCCTGTCAATGCAGGGAACGTGGGTTCGAGCCCTGGTCCTGGAAGATCCCACATGCCGTGGAGCAACTAAGCCCGTGTGCCACAACTACTGAGCCTGAGAGCCACAACTACTGAAGCCTGTGCGCCTGGAGCCCATGCTCCCCAACAAGAGAAGCCACTGCAATGAGAAGCCCGTGCACCACAATGAAGAGTAGCCCCCGCTCACCACAACTAGAGAAAGCCCACTCACAGCAACGAAGACCCAATGCAGCCAAAAATAATTAATTAAAAAATAAAATAAAATAGCCACAAAAATAAGTCGAGCAAAATAAATCCTGAAATTTGAAAGCTAGTCTCTATGGTCTGTAAAGACAGCTACAAATTATATTTAGTTTCAGCCTTTAGTTTTACCATCGTTTACTTTCAAAACGAACTTTGTTTCATTTATTTATAATTTCCCTTTATCTTGATAGCAAATACAAATAAATCAAAACCACATGGCCAAATGATAGACACAGGGGAGATGTATAGGTGACTATTACTGAAGAAGTGTGTAGAACTTTCTTTTTTTAAATTATTTTAATTTATTTATTTATTTATTTTTGGCTGCGTTGGGTCTTCGTTGCTGCGCGCGGGTTTTATCTAGTTGCAGCGAGCGGGGGCTACTCTTTGTTGCGGTGCGCGGGCTTCTTATTGCGGTGGATTCTCCTGTTGCAGAGCACGGGCTCTAGGCGTGCGGGCTTCAGTAGTTGTGGCTCACAGGCTCTAGAGCACAGGCTCAGTAGTTGTGGCACACAGGCTTAGTTGCTCCACAGCATGTGGGATCTTCCTGGACCAGGGACCGAACCTGCGTCCCCTGCATTGGCAGGTGGGCTCTTATCCACTGCGTCACCAGGGCAGCCCCAGAACTTTCTTTCCTAGAAATTTTCCAAGAGGATTTACAACCCTCGGCCCCCAGATACTCCGGACTAATAGCAACTGAGACTCTTTCAGTGTAGTGACTCTATGTAGTTTCTAAAGATACTAAATACATCTCACATAAATCTGTCTTGCATTGAGACAATACACATGCTTCACTTCTGCCCCTTCACCCCCCTCCAAAAAAAAAAAAAATTGCTCCAAAAGGAGGGAATGGTGAAAATAAGAATTATTTCTCTCTCCTTGTTCTTGGTTTACAGCAGACACTGATGGCCACAGTCCAAACCCAGGAAGGTTATCAGATATAGTTTCAGGTTGGGGTTTCAGGTCTCAGTACCCATAAATACTGCTGGAACTTCTTGAGTACTGTTAAAGGAAGTTAGACATTGAGACTCTGGTGGCCATATACTTCATTATTGGGGGAAAACTATCCCACTTTCCAAAAGTTCATTTCCACTTAGAGTTAAGTAACATAACGTCAACCTGATCCATACCATACGTACATCAAAAGGCAATGATAATGTGCCAGTAAGAAATAAAATCAAGAAGGGTTCAGGTTCCAGGCACAACTGGAAGGTCCCAAACTCAACAGGGGAAGAAACACATGCTCTGTTCTTCCATGATCCTCTGACAACAAGCCCCAGGATGATACCCTGGCTTCACTCAATACTCAGTTTTCTGGACAAATGCAACCTTTCCATTCTGCACTTAATATTTTATGTAACTCACTGAAGCTTTCAGATAGACTAAATATATTTTGTCTAAAAATTAAAAGATTCTTTTAAAGTAGTACGTTGACAAATGTTTGGGAGACAGGGACAGCTGTATTTTCACCTAAGCAGATTTCACATATCTGTACAAAATCATAAAATAAAATAAAAAACAAGTGTTTGTTACTTTGTCACTGCCTCAATTCCATTTCACATTTTCAGTTGGAGCTATATATCATTTGTAAGGTATGCTCAGTTCGGAACTAAAGCCATTGTAACTTTATAGAAATGGGATGAAATCTTCAAAGACACTCATTACTTTAAATCTGCTTGGTAAGCAATTTTTTAAAAGAAAAAGGAAAACAAATTCTTGTATATGAATGAGATCTCCAAACTCAATGGTTTTTCTCCAAGAATGATCTTTAAAACAGGGTATCAAGAAAATGACCCCTTTCCACGGTTCCTTGACATTCAAAATCTCTGTTCACAAGTTTCCTGCTAAACAAGTTTTTCTTAATATCTAGTTTGGCTCTTATTTTTCACTTTTAAAGACAGAAAAGTAAAGGCATGGGAATTTTGAAAGATATTTTGTGACTAAAAGAAACTGGAATAGAACTTTACAATATGGCTTTGGTAACAATAAAGCATACATTTAATCTTTTATGTTACTACCATAACATACATCCACTGATGAGATGTGTTGGCGTCTCACCTGCTTTAGTTACATATCAAGTTTTAATCACTTTATTTTCTCATCACCCACGAAATCCAAATAGCTTTCTCTTCATTTTTGCGAATGCAAAAGCAAAACGAACTCTTCTATGTTCTTTTGCTGCCACCCAGTGGCTCTGATCAGCAAGTGCCAGGATGACAAATCTAACTGAAGGGACAGAAACACACCTTCAAGAAAACCCAAAGCATGAAAATCCAAATTATGAAAAGGGATAAATGTCGAAGCAGGCAGTTACATGAAAAAGGGTTCCTTTATGTTGCATAAAGATTGAGGGAAAACCTCCCCTAGATTGTAATTTCAAGCAAAAATGGGAGCACGGCACTTCACTCTTCCTAGACTCAGGCTGGTTGGGCGTCAGCGCGTAGTAGGCGTTTAAACACCTGTTTAGCCTAATCCATTTCATTAAAATGCTTATTATAATCAAGCGGAAAAATAAAAAACAACGAAAAAGCTGTATTTGCATTTGAATATAAATGGATAATAGGCTCAAATAAAGTATTTTAAACGTTAGTCAACTATCTTTCAGTGAGAGGACTTCCTTCTCTCCTTTTCTTTGGCCTCCCCGCGCGCCATGAGGGATCTTAGTTCCCCGACAAGGGATCTAACCGGCGCCCCCTGCAGTGGAAGCGCGGAGCCTTAACCACTGGACCGCCAGGGATGCCCCGAATACTTTTAAGACGGTCTGAGCAGGAGAACAAATTGTCAAAACCGGTCAAAAATTCAGGATGATTCTCCCGTCGCGGACACAAGCGATAGAGCACGGGGTCAGAGATATGATATTGCTCCAAATCATGCTCCAAAGTTGGTGTGCAAATTTAACACCGAGACTACATAAACCAAAACTGAAACCAGCTTTCCAGTGTTTGAAAATTCAGTGTAGGTTTAGCCAATCAGCAAACAGCATCCATGACCCGGGTCCTCTCCTCCTGCGAAGCCCCTCTGTGTGCAGTTTCTGGGCGGGTTATAAAGTTCAGGGCAGAGACAGTGAGAGAGGTGCAGTCTCCAGAGTGGACTCACATCCTTGCCTCACTAATTATGTGCTCTTGGACATAAATACCCACTTCAATTGGCTTGTATAGATCACAGATGAGATAACACAGGTCTGCCCCAACCATGGCCAGGACCTGGTGTTAGCTTCCACAAATGCTCACACATGGACCAGGCACGACCTTAATATACATATGCACAGAAAAATTATTATTCAGAGAGGAAGGGATGATTGGAGAATTTTATTCATTTGTAAATCATTTTTTAAATTTATAACCTATGCTTTAACTACAGGTACTAGTACAAAAACAGTAAACAATGAGCCTGGAATCCAGCAGTGAAAATGGTAATCCAGTAGGAACTTTAAGATATCACTTATTCCACTTTATCTTGATAAATGGCAAAAATATTTAGAACAACTGGAAAGGACAAAGCCCTAGTAAATTCAGTTGTGCTTCCCAACTCACATATTAACAAGCATTTCTTATTTCTAACAAAAAATATGTATTTGGGGAAGAGGATTCCTATGCTTTGCCTCATAGAAATTTGAATATATTGAAAATACCTTCCAATGAGTCAGGAAATTCAAAAACTTTTAGGACACATTTTAAAGGAAAGCCCAAGTCTTATTCAGAATGAAATGTTCTAGTTGCCAGCTTCTCAGGATGCAGCCCCTAGCTCCATTTCTATTTTATCATCAAGAAATGTAAGATTTTCTACCTCTCCTTTGATCACTTAAATAATTTTTTTGCTTTGAACCCCTACAAAAACATATAGCAGAAACCACAAATAAAAGCTTTAAAAATAAATTCCACCATCACCAAATGCTGGCAAGACGTGGAAAAACAGGACCCTTATTCATTGCTGGTGAGGATACAAAATGGTACAGCCACTTTGGAAAAGCTTGGCAGTTTCTTACAAAACTGAACATACTTTTACCATATGATCCTGCAATCACACACCTTGGTATTTACCTACAGGCATTGAAAACGTATGTTCACACAAAAACAGGCACGTGGATGGTTACAGCAATTTTATTCGTCACTGCCAAAACTTGGAAGCAACCAAGATGCCCTTCAGTAGGTGACTGGATAAATAAACTGTGGGACATCTAGGCAACAGAATATCATTCAGCACTAAAAAGAAATGAGCTATCAATCCATGAAAAGACATGGAGGAATTTAAATGCAAATTACTAAGTGAAGGAAGCCAATCTGAAAAGACTACATACATGATTCCAATTGTATGACATTCCGGAAAAAGCAAAACTATTAAGACAGTAAAAAGATCAGGGGTTGTGAGGAGGAGGGGATGAACGGGTGGAACACAGAGGATTTTCAGGGCAGTGAAACTACTCTGTACAAGACTATCATGAGGGATACATGTCATTATATATTTGTCCAAACCCAAAGAATGTACAACACCCCGAAGGAACTCCAATGTAAAGCATGGACCCTGGACGATAATGATGTATTTATGTAGGTTCATCCGGGTATGTAACAAATGTACAACTCCGGTGGTGGACGTCTGGTGGTGGAGGCAAGAGGGGGTATGTGGGGCCTCTCTGTGTTTTCCGCTGTGAACCTAAAACTACTCTAAACATAAAAGTTTATTAATTAATCTATTTAAAATTACATATAAGAGGGAAGGGGAGTACAGGCAACAAGGACATCTCATACAATTATAGCTTAAAATGATTAATTCAAATATTTCTGTAAATTTCAAGGCAACACATAAGAACTAAGCTTAACAAGTCAGAGTCTAAGAAGATATGTATTAAGTTGTACCTGGTACGTCCCTTAAAGGATTAAAACACACATTGACACTATTCCCAACAGCTGCTTTTAACATTTCTTTTCAATGTTATATATTTAAATTATTGTAAGTTACTTTAAATGCCTAGCTAAGTAAGAGAATGAAATTTAATTACAGATATTTCCAATGTTATGTATCTAGGTATAATATAGCTAAGTATACGTAATGTAGCTCAAATAACAATTTATGCTAAAATAAAAATTTAAGTAGTCAATAATTAAGGAAACACTATTAGGTTGGTCTTTATTACTGTCTTCTACAAATTTAAAAAGTGATAGATAAAATCTAGCAATTGTAATTCCTTAAGGCTTAGTTTAAATTGTTTAGAAGAAATCCTAAAAAAGATTTTATATTTTGCTACACTTCTGACGTATATAACTTCTGATACTGAACAATTAATTTCCACTACAATACAGTTAGATTGCAGTGAGAAAACAGATCCTGAAAAAAATATAAGCATGTTTCCTATGAACTAACCTCGCTTTATGAAAATTAGGTGCAGTAAGATCCCTCTTCCGATTCGGCATTATTAAGACAATCAAGCAAAGATCCCACTATAACTTACACATAACCCTATTTTTGTGGTATCTCACCTTACCTTAAACAACATTTACAAGTTTCAAAAGAGTATAGAAAGCAGGTTAGAAAAAGAGCCACTTTCAACTAAGAATTCTCATTTTTCTGGCTATATCTGAATGTAATTTGTCTAACATTAAAATTAAAAATAAACTGGGCCCACATGTAGGAAACTATTAAATGCCTACATTTTTATATACACATGGTGTTTTTTTTAAGACAATGAAATATCTGCTATTACACGTAAGCATTCTCACATTATTTCCTTGTCACGGAAGGATTTTACTTCTTGCCTAACATCTCACAAATAACTAGCATTCACTAGGTTATCCGATTCTCGTGCTGCTTCTTTGAGCAAATGTTGATCAGTACAACTATTTTTTCTCATTTCTTTTTACCGAAGAAACCATGCACACAACACAACAGAAAACAAAAAACCTTTGCTCCCACTTTACTTCTGCTCATGTGAGGGATTATCACTTTTAAATAACTGGTCTTTAATTCTGGTGATTACCTTCATAACACACACCTACACTGCTATTTCGTTGGCCCTCGTCTATTGACTCCCCAGCCTAAAAATGAGGATTTAATTTATACCACTCCCCGCACCTTACTCCCTTACTCCTTCCAGTTTTTGACAGAAGAATGAAATCACTTTGTACACCAGAAATGCAATCACTTTGACTGAATCACGTTGCTGTACACCAGAAACTAACACAACATTGTAAATCAATGATACTTCAATTTAAAAAAAGAAAGAAAAAATATAGCTATTACCTTTACAACTTACTTAAAATCACATTCACCCAACAGTGTCGTGCAGCATCCAGGTTTCCTGCCATGAGCATGCCCTCTTCCCTCCTCCCCATTTCTACCTCACTTCTGTCTACATACCTTCACTTTTACATTATCAAAGTTGATTTCCTTCACATTCTTGTCTTCTGTTTAATCTACTGGTTGATTGTAAAAGCTGAAAACCAGTAAGCAACATTTACAATTTCTTTTAATTAAACTGGTCCCTAATCATTAAGATTAAAAACCCACTTCTCAGTTCTCTAATACCTAACTTTAAAGGGAAAAAAAAACTGAATGGTACACTAGAGTTAAGAATTTGGGGGGGGGGGGGAAGTTTTAGGGCTTTAAAAAAAAATCTCTATACAGATGAATTCAATAAGCAATTTTTTAAGTGGTTTGTGCTCTTGGATGAGCACAAATTACATACAATTTGTGTAAGATGTATGTATTTATTTTCATTATTTGAACCTGACTGCTGTGTCATATTAGGAAGAGACCACATGGCACATGATAATAGGCTTAGTGAAAATTTCTCCCCCATGGAAACCTGACAGGGTTTTCTTTCCTTCAGGGAAATGAGTTTCTTCAAACCAAGGTAAAGTTTAAAAGATGGTACACACTCAATCAAAACTAACAAAGCCTGCTAGAGAGGTCTGAACACTTTGGCTTCAGAAAGAGTATAACAGACCCTTGACATTTCAAGGTCTAAATTTTGAGATCTTTGCTCCAAATCAAAAATAGTCCTAGATTAAGTCTACATAGGTTCCTGGTTTTCTTCAACATTACATTTTCATCTTGTGTCATGAAGTTTCTTTGCACATACTTTCACTCCAAGTTATAAATCTTTTTAATTCCTTCCATCTAAACGGCCATTGTATTAGTTTGCTAGGGCTGCCATAACAAAGTACCACAAACTGAGTGGCTTACAAGACAGAAATGTATTTGCCTCACAGTTGGGGAGGCCAGAAGTCCAACATTGTAGTGTTGGCAGGGTTGGTTCCCTCTGAGGGCTGTGAGAGAATCTGTTCCATGCCCCTCATTTAGCGTCTGGTGCTTTGCAGGCAACCTTTGGTATCCCTTGGCTTATAAAAGCAACGCCCTGATCTCTGCCTTCATCTTCATATGGTGTTTTCCCTGGGTGCAAGACTATGTCCAAATTTCCCCTTTTTATAAGGACACGATATTGGATTAGGGCTCACCCTGTGGTCTCCTCTTCACTAACTACAACCACAACAACCCTATTTCTAAATAGGGTAATATTATGAGGTATTAAGAGTCAGGACTTCAGGCTTCCCTGGTGGCGCAGTGGTTGAGAATCTGCCTGTTAATGCAGGGAACACGGGTTCGAGCCCTGGTCTGGGAGAATCCCACATGCCGTGGAGCAACTAGGCCCATGAGGTTTTTTTTGCCACACCGCACAGCTTGGGGGATCTCAGTTCCCCGACCAGAGACTGAACCCAGGTCATGGCAGTGAAAGCTTGGAATCCTAACCGCTAGGCCACCAGGGAACTCACTCTATCCATTTTACCTGTTGATGGGCACTTATGTTGTTTCCATACCTTGACAATTGTAAATAATGAACATTGGAAAACTAAAAATGGAACTACTATATGATCCAGCAATTCCACTCCTGGGTATATATCCGAAAAAAACAAAAACACTAAAAAAGAAACTAGCACCCCAAATGTTTATACATACTTTTAATGCTTTTTTTTTTTCTTTTTGCAGTATGCGGGCCTCTCACTGTTGTGGCCTCTCCCGTTGCGGAGCACATGCTCTGGACGCGCAGGCTCAGCGGCCATGGCTCACAGGCCCAGCCGCTCCGCGGCTTGTGGGATCTTCCCGGACCGGGGCACGAACCCATGTCCCCTGCATTGACAGGCGGACTCTCAACCACTGTGCCACCAGGGAAGCCCAATGATTTCTTTCTTAAGGGAAAACAGTAAAGAAGGAAAGGATCAGAAATGGGATAGTAAATGATTTCAATTTAAATAAGTCAAGGAATGTATTATTAGAGAGAGCAAAGGTCACTAAATGAAACAATATCAGCCAGATACATTACAACATGGTCTACAGACCACTGTTCTAGCACTAAATCAGAAATGATTCCTTGTTATAATCATTCTTTTGTATTTTAATAATTAAACATCTTTGGACAAGGTCCAAGATGAATTATACACTATAGTAAATTGCATATAACAAGCCTCTATCCTTTTTACAATAACATTTTTCAACATAGGCTCTCAATAGCTAATACTCACCTAATAAGAAACTGAAGGTATTCTTTTCTATTTCTCCTAATCATCTCATTCAAATCCTATCGCTATGAATTTCCTGGGTACTTGGCTTTAAAATACTGTACTACTATAAACTTTAAATTCAAGCCCTGGATAGGTCTACATTCATTTCAGCAGAAGCATCTTGAAATGTTGAATTATCTTCAATTTCCTTCAATCATTTATTGTAGCTGCCAAACTGAAACGGCACACCTTAAAGGCAACACTAAACTGAAAGGAAATAATAAAAGAGTCTCTTAAATGTTTCATTTATGAAAGCTTATCTTTCCTGCCATGAAATTTTGTGTACTATCTGAAATATATCACTTTACAAAACTGACATCTTGCATGCAGTTATTTTGCCATGATACACTTGCCAGACTTCAAGGTTTTGGGGAGGGGGGTTGGAGGGAAGGGACTGGCATGTTTTCTCAACCTTTTATAAACAGATAAGTAATAAAGAGCTAGGCTCGTTTGGTTTTTGGCCTAAGATTGGGAGTAGGAGGTTACAGAATTAAAATTAAGTCTCAATTGCCAGTAGATATCGCTATAGCTACCCCCTTTTCTGGATAGCTTTAACTAATCTTCCTGGCTATATTAAAATTATACCATAAAATAAACACTTTAAAAGGCACATCAGGTCAGAGGGTGGCTGCTCTCTGAAAGGAAAACAAATCTGCAAACCAAAATTATTCAAAGCATTTTCTTGAAATCCTGCGCACAAGCAATATAATAGCAAATTAATCAAGGAGAACAAATCTACAGAATAATGTAACAAAATCTGTATACTCTTCCCCCTAACATAATTGTTAATGAAAACTATAAAATGCTAATATTTAAAATAAGCAAAATATGGTTTGTATTTCCAAAACTGATGAGTTTTAGACCAGGATATAGGGAAAAGAAATGTTTTTATTAGTTAAGTACATTCAGATCACATTTATATAAAATAGGCTGCTATTCAGTTAAAAGAGCCCCTGAATTTATCAGAGCAAGTTTACTAACTATTCTATGAAGGGAGAAAACAAGATGCCAGTTCTTCTTTTTCTCCGCTTTATCTACCAAACTTAGCTATTACATGAGGCTCAGAATCACTGTTCAAACCTTTCTCAGTTAATGTTACTTTGTAAAGCCAGAATTTCTGATAATTTATTGCATAAAGGTATGGTTTAACAGTATTATAAGCTAAGTGATTCCTAAAACATCTTTCTCTCCAATGACCTACGCTTAGGAAAAAGTATCTATATTCAATACATTGTCCCTTTTTTAAGCATTTCCTGTATTTCTAGTCAATTTTTAAAGGCTCATTTAGAAATAATACTAATCCATTTCTAATAGCTAAGTAGAACAATTTTTTTAATTTGCAGGGTATCTTAAAAACCAATCAATTTGACATAACCTCAAATTCCAGGAATGTAAACCATAATTCAAGCTTCAGTTTTCCTCTTAAAATATTCTACTTACTAAAATGAATTCCCATCCTGCAACTATGAACAATAAGAAAATTGTGCTTAAAATAATATTAAAAGACTAAATCTCATTATTTAGTATTAGATTAATAATCCATAATTCTAATCTTAAAAGTATCTATAGCTATAGCCCCTCCAATTTGTTAATTCCCACAGAGATTAATACAAGATATAATTAACATCTAACCTTAGAGCAGACTGTCATTCGGAACAAACTATGCTAACAATAACTGTACCATAGTCAAATAGATCAACCCATCACCCTTTATGATTCTGACTAAGGTTAATGAGCACAACTTGTCATAAATTTTCCAGTAACTCTGAAAAACTGAATTGAATGAAAAGACTAGTTTTTTCATAATACTTAAAATAGAATAAAGGCTGGAGTTGTCTTATCTGGAACCTAGCACAGTATTTAACAATGTAAATGTCATTAAGTATTTGTGAAATGAATAGACAAAAAATAAGCAACCCAATACACTTACTATCACTCAGCTCCTTACTATGTGCTAGTAAGTACTTAAAATCATACATAATAAAATGGAATACACTCAAATTGTTTTTTACCTCTAATAAACACTTAAAAGAATTGTTCACTTAAGAATCCCCAGTTTAAGAGAAGGTAGAATTGGACTTTCACAAACCAATAATTTGGCTAATGACTTTCTGCAACTGCATGACATTTTTCATTTAACTTTTTTTTTCTTAATGAAATGAGAAAATATAAAGAAATGCAAGCTATAACCTTCTTTGCAATAAATAACACTAGGCCACTATATTTGATCTTAATAACATTTATTTCTCTCATGAAGAAGCTACTTTAAAAAAAAAAAATTTGAATTTTGAGGAGCCGAAGGTGAAAAAAGGAGTGAACTAACTATAAGTGTTCTTCCACTTCAAAAATCGTCTGACATCTGAGCCAGAAGTCTTTCTGCATCTATCAGTGACCACCTCTTCATGTGTCACAGAAAGAGTTCAACATGCGTTACAAAATCCATTACATTTTAAGACCATTTCCAATATCTGCTACCATAAATCAAGAAATCCATTTATTCAAGGTTACTTATGGAGAATTAGTCACACAAAAAATTTTAACAACTTCATTTTCAAAAATTAAAGTATTTTACTGTACTTGGCATTCCTATACATAATGATGTGAATTCAAAGACTGAAAGCATTAAGGGTATATAATTAAAATTCATGGGCTTAGACATAAAAAAAATCGTTTAATATTTAGAATTCTCTGTAGCAAATACTGCAGAAAAATAAATCAGAATATAAACACAATGTAATCTCCTTTGGATTTCTCCTCTGCTTAAGTGGCATTAAATAACATACAAAGTTGTTCCAAAATACTTCTATGTAATTGCTATAGCCTCAGAAACATACAATAAAAAACTCTGAAAACATGAGGCCAAGAGAACTGTGGGCACTATGCATAAGGAACAAAAACTCGTGAATTCCCCCATTCCTAAGGATTTCTAAAAACTACCTTCCTAATTTCAAGAGAAAATTTACTCAAAAGAGAAAAATAAAAAACAGGTCAGCTACACAACACTTACAGCTTTACTGATAGGGTACAGCCATTATGCCAAAATTCAGCCATCAATATACAACCTCATTTCCCATCTAAAGTTAATGAGAATATATTTTACTTTAAATGGGACATAGTGGCAAAGTACCAAGAATTAAAGAATAACCTTAAAAGTCTTAATTTCATACTTCAAATATCACAAAAAGCAGTAATTCCCAAAATCATGAAAGCATAATGAAATAGCTTCACAGAAAAAATGGACATTTAAGTCATTTCTTTCTTTCCTAATATTATATAGTGAAAACAGATGTATTTAAAACTTCAGCATACTTCATAAAATCATTATTCATCGAAAATACACAAATGTTTGCAAAGAACATTTAACTTAAATTTCATAGTTGCTTATAAAATGGCACTTGCAAAATTGACCTATATAAGGAAATAAGAGTCTTGTCAAGAGACAGTAAACTATAAATATAAAATATACCACAATGTTAAAAAAACCACATAATGTTCTATAGGAAAATCAATAAGGATAACTTAAATCTTTCTGGGGGAAAAGTATTTAGCATTACAAATTTAAAATGCAAATTTTACACACGAATTCAATATGGAATACATTTAAACCTTACAATGGCACATAATCATCATCTATTTTGTGGAAAACAATAAAAATTATGTACTTTTTGAATATGTGTACATCAAAACCAAAAGGTTAACTTTTACTTTTTCCTTTATTGGCAATTTTGGATGCATTTTTAGGTTTTGGTTCCCATAGGGCATTTTTTACAAATCTTGAAGCCGCAGCCCTGTCTAGCTTGCCAGCCTTTTTCTTGTCTGTTATTTCCTTGACTCTGTTCATGTATACTCTGATTCTCTCCTTAAAGACAAAAAAAGAAGAAAGGCAACAGATTTACTAAGCTGCTCACCACTGAGTTCTATTATACTATACCTCAGTTCAATTCAACAGCTTTGTATTTATTGCTTATTGAGTGGCGCTAATAAGTGCAAAGCGAATAGGATAAACACATTCCATGTGCTCCTGGAGTTCACAGTCTGAGGGGAATACAGATATCAAAAAAGTCAGAAGTGTTCTGAGTGTTTCAAAAGAGGAAGATCTAGACACTACAGAGATAAACATTTAATTGTTTATATGTGGTTATACTAAATTTTTAAATTTAGCATTCACCTAAATCCACATACTAACTCTCTTGTATCTGAAGTCTATAATCTAAAATAGAGCTTTCGGGATTTCCCTGGTGGTCCAGTGGGTAAGACTCTGCACTCCCAATGCAGGGGGCCCGGGTTCAATCACTGGTCAGGGAACTAGATCCCACATGCATGCCACAACTAAGAGTTTGCAAGCCGCAACTAAGAAGCCCACATGTCACAACTAAGAAAGCTGCATGCCACAACTAAGATCCCACATGCTGCAACTAAGACCTGGCGCAGCCTAAATAAATAATTAATTAATTAAAATAAAGCTTTCACATACTTTCAACATACAAACTAAACTCTCCAGAAATTTTTCTAAACAGGAAATGGCTAAGGCGTATTTAACTATTTATTTTTTTGTGTTACCTTCATGTCACAATTAAAATAAGTATAATGAAAATACAAGACCTTTTTATCCAATGTCATAGTTCTGACTGAAAAGCACATGATATTTTCTAATGAAATATACAGTTCTAATCAGACTTTACAAGGTGAGAAACATACTAGGTTGCTGTACCACTTTGAATCTTCTGAGACCACTAATCAGAATAAAGGGCTATTCTATACTTCAGTTGGAGAAATAAAGGCGTGAGAGCTATAAAACAGCAGAGTAAATGATTGATCACTGCTTAAAAGTTTCATTAAAATAATCAAAATAGTTATATAAACATACACAGAAAAATGCAGAACCTTAGAATTTTTTAATTTTAAGAAACTGACAACCCTGTTCAAAACCCTCTCATGGCTCCCTATTTCTCTGAGTAAAAGCCAAAGTCCTCACAACACACACCCAACCCAGCCCTGCCCAGAATGATCTTCCCTCACAAACCCACATGGCCAGCCCTCTCTTCCTTCCAGTCTCCTCAAATGTTCACCTTGTTAATAAGTGCTGCCTTTACTATTGAAAATGGCAATCCTACCCAAGCACTCCAATGCCGCTTACTCTGTGCTATTTTTTTCTTTTTTCCCACAATGTAACTTTCTAACATACTATATATTCATATGTATTTATTATTTGTTGTTTGTTTGATTATGTTGTTTGTTTCCCTCCACTAGATAGTCTGGCGCCTGCCACAAAGGCAGAGATATTTATTGGCTTTATTCACTGAGGAATTATCTCACTTGGAAATAATGCCTGGCTTCCAGTGGGCATTCAAATATTTGTCAAATGAATCAACTATTTTCAATGCCCTTCTCCATTCATGATAGATATGGCAAATAGGTCAGAAAAGGGGAATAGGTTTATGGATGCTTTTCATTTATCAACCCTTGTCCAAAATATAAATGTACTCCTCCATAAAGTGGATTCTGAGGGAAAAAGAAGGCAGATGATTTTATCTTTTTCCAGTGACAGAATTAAGTATTACACTACTCCAAATAACTTTGTGTTTAAGAGAAGAAAGAGGAATTTTATAAACGTAAAGTCCATATTAGAAAGGTGAAAGCAGATGATACAATGCATACTTCTTAAGATTTAAAGCCAGTATCACTTGTCAAATCAAGCTCTGTGGATCATACTGCTTTATATTTTTGCTTTAAGTATCTTTCACAATTTCTGTATTTAAAAATAAATTTACTTTTCCCCCAAGAAATTTAAAAGAAGAAAATGTCTTAGTCTACACATTTAAAAATTGAAGACGGCAGATCTGGTTTACTCATTTTTTTAAATAAATGACCAAGTGCTTTACTAAGCTATAAAAAAAATACATATCAACCACCATAAAACTTTAGAACAATAATACAGTGTCAAGTATATTTCACATATATATTTACCTTATATTTTATAAACACAAAGAATAAATTTATTAATATTCTTATTCATAAAGCCAAGTCAAGAAGGTAACCATAAGTTTGATTTCTAAATTTTTTTCTTTCAAATTGAATGATTTGATTTAATTTTTGAAGTCAGCAAAAACTCCAAGATACCAGACCTTATATAATATACTATACTTATACATCTAAATGGAACACAAAGACAAACCTAGAAGATTTATTACAGGTTGTAAATATGTCACTAATGCAGAATTACTGGACAGTACACATACAACTGGTGCCAAAAAAGCTTTTAGCTTTGTTGCCGAAGTGGATTCTTTACTGCTGAGAAAATGAATTAATGGAAGAATTGAAACGGTGGAGGAGAAACTTTCCCGTCTTGGCTAGTAAATCAACTAGAATATACTTTTAAGAATTGCATAAGAGTTTAAAAAAAAAAACAGGCAGTTGTAGAGATGAACAGGATTTCAAGAATTTATAGGAAAAATAATATAGCACTTATAAATAATTACTAGAATCATGACATTTTCCCATCCACAGATTTATATAATATATGGAACACCCTTCTCTGACAAAGGTGAGAGAAAGAAAAACTAAAGGCACGATGAAATCTGGCTCACTTTCGTAATTTCACCCCTAAATAATTCTGTTCTCCACAATTAGTGTGATAAAGGTACTGCGATTTTACCTTTAGAAACACTACAACAGACATTACACGTAAAATAAAAAGAAATCGATCCACTGCAATCTTACCAATTCCTGCTTTACTGGATGTTCCTTAGGATTAACTCCCTGCGTTGCCAAATAAACTACAAGAGAAAGATTTCATGGAATAAAATGCATATATATTAATTAAGAGCATTAATTAAAGAAACTCCAGTTACAAAAAGGAAACGTCACACAAATTATTAACTAAATCTTAAATTATTCAACCTCTTTGTAATATTAAATGTATGTGTGGCTCATGGGCATCTGGTATTCTGATTTAAAAAGAAATAAATATCTGACTATTAAAATTGCCATAAAGTATAATTGCTAGCATTTTAAAAAATAAGTCACCTTTGACATGGTAAATAATTTGCTTTCTAATTAACTCTAAAGTAATATACATACCCCAAAACATTGAATTCAACGTGTAAGCAGAAACTAAATCCACTTTTGCTTGTTCAAGTGGGTCCAACTATTAAAAAAGAGGGAGAGGGAGAAAGAAAAAGAAAAAAGAAATTAAAACTTTGAGCACCATCACATATTTTAAACTTTCACCAAGTACAATGTATCAAAGAAATGTTTTTTTCACTTCCTATAATCCAATAATCAAACCAAATAATCTGGAAATAATTTGCAAAAAGAAAAGTTTTGTTAACCAGTTTTTTGCCCACAAATTTTCACTTCAGTGTACCATCTTTAAGTTAAACAAGGAATGTGTATAATCCAAAATTTAAAAAAATTCTTTTGAATTATTTTAATTTCAGGATTTACAATCTGGGCTTTGTATGTCAAAAGTAATTCATCAATATAAACATTGTACATGATGCATTTATGTATAAGAAGCAGGCTAAAATGCTTAGGCAATACCAAAGACAGAAGAAACATAATGAGATTTGTTTTAGACTGTCAAAGTCAATTTACTCTTTTTGTCCTATAGGGTTTCCAGAAACCCTGATAACATCATTGTAATACTTAAAAGGTCAAAGGTAGAGTCTGTCAAAAAGAATGCTGGGAGAGCTTTTTTTTATTCAAAACCAAGTCAAAATAAAAATATAGTTAGGAGGTATTTCCTAAGCTTGGAGTTTGTTATATTTTCCCCTTAAAGATATCCAAACACTTAAAAATTGAAATAAAGGGGGAAAGGGGCATATTTCATGTATCTGTTTCTTCTTCTATGTGTTTCATAACATAGCACTCGGTTTTATGAATACATTTTTAGAAATTACTTAAAATACCTTCTGCAACAACTCATTTCTAGAAACAGACATCATGGTCTTCAGCATCTCATCCACAGCACCAATGGAATTCTCAAATGTTGATAAATATTCATGAATTTCTACTGGATAGTCTTCATTAATTTCTTCGCCTGCCATTATGTTCAACTGGGAAAAAATTAAATTCTTAGTTCATACTGGAGACAGAGAATGCTCTCTAGGTTACAAAAAAAAATTAATAGGTCATATCATATGTTTCAAAAGTGCTAAAAGAGTTAAAACCTGAAGTTAATTAAACAAATCTTCTTAGAATATAATTCTGGAGCAACCACGTTTAAACTTCCCCTCTTCTTAGGCTGCTGGGGAGTGGGGGTGGGCTGCCAGGATAGGACCCACCCAAGTTCATTAATGCTACACATATCAATCCCTCAATCCCTCGATGCTTTTTGAGAACTAAAGAGATACGACTACCAAACATGTTATATCAATAATAAAAATCCTACATTTTAAAAACTTTCTGTTGAAGTTAAAGACCAAGCAAAGCAATGAAAGTGTGATAAATATACACTACCCCCTAATGCTTGCTGAAAAAAATAAGCAAAGCTCTTTTTTTAAAAAACATACATATTAGCACTTGTAAATTTAGATGTTGATCTAGCAGCATGGTATATTAAACCAAAAAATTAGAAATCTTAGATCTGAAATATTTTATGATTATTTATCACTAAAATTACTTTTCAAGCCTATATTTATATTTATATATATTCCTTAAGCTTAAAATATTAATAAGAAATTGAAGAGTCAATAGATCACATAAAGTCTGTAAGCAGAAAAGATGAAACATGGGAGAAATAAACTATATGGTTTTCATTTAGGCTACAGCATACCTTGACGGCCCATTCTTTAAAATTCACATTTACATCATAATATTTAATAGCTATATGAGGAAAAGAAAAGTCCACATCAATGTATTTAATATGGTATCTAAGATCAAACTTCAGAAGCAATTCCAAGCCACTGTACCATCCTTAGGTTTTATTAGCTGAAAATACCTCTTTCATTACACAGCTAAGGAGAACATCAAGAATGTGCAAAATAACAAACAGCATAGCCAAATTGAAGTAAAGGGACTCGGGCTTTCCACCTTGCCTGATCACTGACTTTGTTACCTTAGATAAATCACTGAATCTCTCTGGGCCCCAAATATCTCATCCATTAAATAAGGCATTTGGTCTAATGATCTCTAAAGTCCCTTATAATTCTAAACGTTATGACTGTCATTTAAGTTTTAAAAGTACTACTTGAATATTTAGTCACAATATATCCACATTTCTATTCAACAAATACAGTCCACTGAGACATCTGGTTTCATTTAAAATTTTAGAAAAGTGAAGTCCAGGGGTCTATTACTACTCACACTGTAAAGTTATTATCCAACTACTGTGCAAACAGCAATTAAACAAAGGACTATGAGAAAAGAAAACCACACAGGAAAGAACTGTGACTTCCTATTTCAAAAAGTTAACTGAAAATACGGATTTGCCTCTCATTCCTCCCAGAAAAATCTCTCCAAAATGACAGAAGAAACACAAAAATAAGTCCATAGTAATGCTGGAAACCAAGAAGGGCACATATCCATCAGCCGACCTCAACAGCAGAAATTTTTCTAAGCTAAAGAGCAAATGGGATTAGACTGATAGGGAACAGAACCAAGGAGCCTGCAATCCCTTACAAACAAAAGAGAAGGAGAATCTAGGAATAAACCCAAGATGAAGGACAGTAAGAGGTGAACCATGCGGCTGAAAGCTGCTAAACAAATCTCCCAATCTGTGAAAGGACAGCTCCAGCATCTACTGCCCACATAAAGGTATTAGTACAGGGACAGACACAAATAGAGAGAAGACTTGATATTTCTTTTCTTTACATAAAATTTTAAACCAATAAATTTGAAAAATCTGGATGATAAGAATGAGGTGCTAGGAAAAAAATTACCAAAACTAACCTAAAAAGAAGTACATAAAACAAATAGATCATTACACAGACAAAAAAAAAAAAAAAAAAAAAAAAACACACTTTAAAGAAGTCAAAGATCTACGCTCCAAAAGGGTTCCAAGTCTAGAAAATATTATAGGTAATTTCTTCCAAACCTTTAAGAAACAGTTAATTTTTATGGTATTTAACTGTTTAAGAACATAGAAGGAGATGGAAAACTTAGATACCTATTACCCAACATACACAAAAATAAACTCCAGATGAATTTAAAAGATAAATGTATAAATGTATTAAAAGATTATATACATTATATAAAATGTGTATATAATCCAAATGAAACCCAAATGCTATAAAAGGAAATGGCTGACAGACTTAAATACATAAAAACTGAAAAAACATCTATATGGTAAAAGTATACCATAAGCAAAGTTAAATGCAAGAAACAGCACGGGAGAAAATATGTGCCAAAATACAACAAAGGATTAGTCAGATTATATAAAGAGTTCCTACAAAGCATAAAACAGATTAAAATACTGAAGATCTCACCCATCAGATTGGCAATAATTTTAAAGACTGGCAAAGTTTGACGTTAGCAAGGGAATACACTGGAGGTGGAATATAAATTGGTACAGATTTCTTAAATGCACACACCCTTTGACTCAGGATATCCTCTTCAGAAAGTAGCCTACAGAAATCCTTGTATACATGCATATAAGTTTATTAAAATGGACTCTTCAGACCCTTCTCTTAAAGTGGGGACTTTGCCTTACATCAATTTTTCTCTCTGCTGGATCATTGCCCATAAGCTTGAAACATTTTATTCCTCCATCTTAGATAAGAAACAAAAGAAACACCTTGACTTCATATCCCGCTCCAGCTTAAGCCCCATTTTCTATCTCCCTTTTAGAACAAACTCCTCAAAAGGGTTGCTAATATTGAATACTAGAGTTCCAGTTCCTCTCCTTCCATTCTTTCTTGAATCTACTACAATCAGGCCCCCTATTTCTCACTCAAAATTGTTCTTGTCAAGGTCACCCACTCAGCCATATTGTCCAATTCAATGGTCAATTCTCAGTTCTCGTCGTTTGACATAGCTGGCTCAGTCTGTCTGGTTTCTAGGGCAGCACATTTCCTTGGTTTCTCTCTTACCTCACAGGTTGCTTTCTTGGTCTTCTTTGCTGCATCCTTTTCATATCCTCAAGCCTCTTAACCTTGACGTGCCCAAGGGCTGTCCTTGAATCTCTTCTCTAATTTACTCTCTAGGTGAGCTCTGGGTTTAAACTATATTAATAAACTGATGACTCCCAGGTTTGCATCTCCAGCCCTGACCTCGCCACTGAACTCCAAATTTAATGTCCAACCGCTTACTCAGTACCTTGGTTGGCTGTTAATATATTCTCAAATGTAATGTGCCCAAAGCCCAATTCCTAATCTTGCTTACTTTATCTTGTAATAACCTATAATGGAAAAGAATCTGAAAAAGTATATGTATGTATGTATGTATGTATGTGTGTGGATATACAGTAAGTCCCCTACATATGAACGAGTTCAGTTCCGAGAGTGCGTTCGTAAGTCCGATTTGTTTGTAAGTCCAACAAAGTTATCCTAGGTACCCAACTAACACAATCAGCTATATACTACTGTACTGTAATAGGTTTATAATACTTTTCACACAAATAATACATAAAAAACAAACAAATACAGAAAATAAAGAAAACATTTTTAATCTTACAGTACAGTACCTTGAAAAGTACAGTAGTACAGTACAACAGCTGGCATACAGGGGCTGGCATCGAATGAACAGGCAGGAAATAAACATACCGTACTACTGTACTCTATACAGTACTATACAGTAAAGTACATAAAAGGACAACCACTTGTAGGGGATGCATGCAAGTGACAATGTACGCCAGACACTTGAACTAACTTACATGATTGGACATGTGAATGTACATTCGCATCTTTGAAAGTGCACAACTTGAAGGTTCGTATGTAGGGGACTTACTGTGTGTGTGTGTATACACACACACACACACACACACACATATATATAACCAAATCACTTTGCTATACACCTGAAACTAACACAATACTGTAAATCAACTATACTTCAATAAAAAAAAAAGAATCTAATCTTGCCTACTACAGTCCTCCCCATCTCATTTCATGGCAACTCCACCTTTTCGATTGCTCAGACCTAAAATTACAGAATAGTCCTTGACTCCTCTCTCACCCTATCTTTAAAACATATTCACAGGGCTTCCCCGGTGGCGCAGTGGTTGAGAGTCCGCCTGCCGATGCAGGGGACATGGGTTCGTGCCCGGTCCGGGAAGATTCCACATGCCGCGGAGCGGCTGGGCCCGTGAGCCATGGCCGCTGAGCCTGCGCGTCCGGAGCCTGTGCTCCGCAACAGGAGAGGCCACAACAGTGAGAGGCCCGCGTACCGCAAAAAAAAAAAAAAAACATATTCACATCCTACCACCTCTACTGCTACCACCCTGGTCCGAGCCAGTCCGAGCCATCATTGTGTCTTGCCTGTGTTGTTGCCATAGCCTCCTAAACGGCTTCCCTGTTTCCATTCCAATAGTTTATTATCAAGAAAGTGATCATCTCAAATCTAAGTCAGATTCTACCATGCCTCTGCTTGGAAACCTTCAAAGGCTTGCCGCCTCACTCAGGAAGAGACAAAGTCTTTATAGTGGCCGGAAAAAACCCTGACTCTCTGCTGCCTCCTCTGTGACCTCATCTCCTCCCACTCTGCCCCTGGCTCACTCCATTCCAGCCATAATGGCCTCACTGCTCTTCTTCTTATTGGGCATGCCCCTATCTCAGAGCCTTTAGACTTCTCTCCTTCCTAGAATGTTTCTCCCCCACCAATGGCTTCAAAGCTCATGACTTCACCTCTGCCAGATCTCTACTCAAATGTTATCTATTGGTAAAGCTTTCCTGACCATCCTATTTTAAAATGCATACCCCTCTTCTCATTCTCAGCACTTCCTATCTCCTTCTTCACCCTTCAGGCCTCAACAGCATCTGACATATTTCATTTATTGTCTACCTCCAAAAGAAGGTAACTACATGAAAACAGGCAGTTTTGTTCACTACCACTGCCTAGCAGTCGATAAACATTTGTTGAATGAAGACATTATAACCAAATACTGGGAATAATTTAAATAGTCATCAATAGGGGAACAGTTAAATGAATTATACCACATCCATCCAAAAGAGTAAAAATAAAGAAGTAAATCTTTATGTAGTAATACACGATAAGTGGTGAAAAAAAGTCATAGAACATAGTATATAACACGTAATGTGTCTAAGAGATGCCATTTATTTTAAAAAATTGTATATGTAGATATGTAGAAAAAGGTCTGGAAGGAGACATACAAAAATAGACATTCTTTCTGAGAAGGGATAGGAAATGCGAATGGGATCAAAGCAGACTCATGCTTTTAGCTCTTCATTCTTCATTGTTTAAATTTCGTTATTTCAAAAAGCATGTATTAAAATTGTAATAAACAATCATTAAATTTAAATAAAGGCATATTTTAATAAAGTATTTTGGCTTTTAACAAATACTGCAAGTATAAAAAAACACAAAAAAGCCTTTATTCAAATGTGAATTTTTTCATCCGATTTTTCTATTGGAAAATATTTCCCGTCTCAAAATCAATCATGATTTTTCATCATGCACCTGCAATTATTCCTTGTCCCTAAGCCCCAGTAAACAAGTAGTTATTTATTGTTAAAATGGGTTACGGTGAACACTGAAAGCAAGGCAGTAAGAATAATGACTCTCATTAAATCTGAACTGAACCACTTGCCTTTTTCCTAACTAAAAAATAAAGGCAAGGTAGACTGAAAAATAAAGGTTCTTCTATTATCAGAAATTCCCCCCAATTCAAATGATTTCTCCTAACATTCTGTACAGATAGTTCCTGAGTATTTGTTCCTTCCACAGGGAGCACTGCAAGGAGGGAGCTGCAGAAGCCGCCCTCTGGTCCCCTTTGTTACTCAGATGCCAGGATGAAGTGGTGAATGGATGGTTACCAGCAGCCATAGCCAACATCTGAACCCCACTGCCTGTGAGCCAGGCACTACTCTAAGCAGCCACACACATTCATTCATTTACTCCTCACAGACAACAGACGGACCCACAGTGAGTTTTCCGTAACTTGCCCGAGACTGTACGTGGTAAATGTCCAAAGAAGAGAAAGAAGAGAACTCACCCCCCTCTGCCCTTCACTCGCTGCCTGGTTCTACAGGGACTCCTCACCCCTCCACCTACTCCTTCTAAAGCACAGGCTGCAACTGGAGAAAGTGGAAGAGGGCGTGAGAGAAGGTGCCTCTCTTCATCCCTCAGGAAGGTCTGGCTGAGACTCAGGGGCAGAGGGGAGAAACCCTGCCCAGCAATCCCTACAGGACGTTACTGCCATTCCTTCCCTCCTCTCGTTGGTGATGAGAGCCACAGTGCCGACAGGAGAAAAGGAGGGGCACACGACATCATCCCCTACCTCCTCCCCTCCATTCTCTGCTTCAGGGAGCTCAGTGCAGCCTGGAATCTGGAAGTCGCCCCTCATCGCTTCCTCAGGCCCCAGTCCCATCAGTTCTGTCAATACGGCCTCCTTAATCTCCTTAGCCACAAGCTTTCCCCCATTCTCACTAACCAGATCATTTCAAGAGCCTTGGAGTAGTCTCCCTACTGTCAATTTTTCTCCACTCTCAATGTTAGGATGTTACAAAACATAACTTTTCCATAAAGATAGTCTGGTCATGGTACACCCCTGCTTAAAATCCTGCAATAGTTTCCCGCCACCTTGAAGGTAAACTCCAAACCCCTTACGTGGACGTGAGGCCCTTTACGATGTGGCCCTTGCTTGCCTGACTAGCCTCATCTTTCATTGCTCCCCTCTTCCAATCCTATAGCTGTAGCCACCACGGCAGTTTTCCAGATGTTCTATGCCCATTCAGCCTAACCTTTCGCCTGTGTGGCTCTCTATACGTGAACCATCCTTCCCACTTCACTTTGTTCAAATCCTGCTTACGTTTGGAGGTAAGATCAGGTTTCCCTTTAGTGCATAGGACTTCTCTGAGTGCCACCCTCCCATTCCCTCTGTCTGGATAAGCACAGCTACAGGTTCTCATGTCACCTAAAACACTATCTGGTGACATGTGTTGATTTACTTAACCTTGACTACAAGCTCCCTGAGGGGGTGGTGTCATCAATATGTCACCGCCATGCTGATGTGTCACCAGTGGCTGACACACAGAATGACTTTATGTCTCAACTTGCCCAAGAGAGTCCCCATGTATGTCTATTGTTTCAGCTTGCCAACTGCTCAGCTCCCCATTTCTCTTTCAGAAGTCCCAGTTTGAGCAATAAATTATAGGGTTACCCTAACAAAAGTAGGTTCTCTGACCCTTGCCACCACTCCTCACCCCACTTTGTTAGAGAACATGAGAGCCTAGAGAGTGGCTCCTGGTACCAGCTGGGGTTCAACCAGAGCAGCGGAACCAGTAGGAGGTATTCTGAAGAGATGTACTGCAAGAAACTGGTTTATGCAATTGTGGAGGAATCTGCAGGGCAGGTAAGCAAGAAAGAACATGCTGGAACTCTTGGCTGCAAGCTGAAACTGCTGTCCACGGGTGGAACTTCTTTTTCATCAGGGAAGCTTCAGCTCTGCTTCTAAAGCCTTCTAATTAATTGGATCAAGCCCACCCAGATTATCTAGAATAATAAAAGTCAACTGTTTGTGTATTTCAATTATATCTACAAACACCTTCAGAGCAATAGCTAGTTTGGTGTTGGACTGAATGGGGGCTGCAGCCTAGCCAAGCTGACACATCAAAAAGACCATCACACTCCTTCAAGCCTCCAGAACTACAGCCAGGAAACGTATATTCCTGGCATCACAAATTGTTGCTCTGACAGCATTTTTCCACAATAGACATGTTATTGATGACTGTCAGGTTCCCAAGTAATAAAACTAGAGTTCAAATTCCAGTTAACAAATGTGGAAGAAATCATAACCTTTAAAAAAAAAAAGAAAATCACCATTTTGCAACCCCTAGTGAAATTACAGATTCACGTAATGTTCACCGACAGATAAAAGGGGAGGAGTGAGACTGCCCGCGCACCGCAATGAAGACCCAACGCAGCCAAAAATAAATAAATTTATTTTTAAAAAAACCTATATTCTTTAGCTCTATTTTATTCAAAGAACTATATGAATGGATTGCCTTCCCTACACCTAAATTTTCTAGCCACCATAAGGCCACTTTCTCCCTATTCTCATGGTACAAAAGCCTTTCTAGCCTCGTGCTCTCTAGAAACTCCTCCTAGAGTTGTTGTGAGGACTCCCTGCCACCAACATGTTTGGCCTGCTTAACTCGGCTCCCTCATCAACAATGCTTTCTCAAGGAAGCATTCCCTCTTGCCTCACAATGAGTCACATCCACTAGATACACAGTCTCACAGCACCATGTATTTCTCCATATCATTGTTGTAATTTTATATTTCTGTGATTATTTGAATTGTGTCCATCATCCACACTGGACTGTAAGCACCGTGCAGGACAAGTCTTTGCTCATATACACTCCAAATATCAGGGTAGCATGTCATAGATGCTAAATAAATATCTATT